TTGGCTTGGTGAGGGACAAAGGCTGTAGCCCATGGCATTTTGTCAAGTGGCCCATGGGCTCCTACTGCACGTTGCCCTGCCCCATGCAGAGGTGGGGTCAGTTCCCCATCACCTGGAGCCCATGGGCTTCATGGCCACTTCTAGGGAGGGAGCTGCATAAGGCCCACCATGGACCTCTGAGGGCAGGACCTCCGGAGGCGTGGCTTCTCCTGGGCCTCAGGTCCTAGGCGCTGTGCCCCAGAGAGAAGTGTGGAGCCACTGTCTCTGGTGAAGGGCTCTATGCAGAGCCTCCAAGCCCCTGGCTGAGGCTCCTGTGCTCCACTGGACCAGGATCTGGGGCTGGAAAGTGAGAAACCCCAAATCATGGGATGTGGTGTGAAGACTGGATGGCAGGCCCACGAAGGGGCCTGGAGGACTCTTGGCAGGTGGATGGGGGCCCCGCGGACCAATGGTGCTGGGCCCTGCAAACCATGTGTAAGAGGGGCTCCTTCTCTCTTACATCACAGACAATGTTCCCTTCCTGTTGTGCTGGACTCTGCTCTGCGACCAAAAGGCATAAATTCTGCCCACTGACTGCATGGAAGGGACCGTTCCTGGCCCCGCCCCCATAGCCCTCCTGGCTCCTGGCATATCAGGAATGGGGCTCTGGTGCCTCCCAGTCCAAAGCTAAACCTTGAACTTACAGGAAAGCCAAGCTGCATGTGGCAGTGACACAGACACTGAGGACCTAAGCCCCTGGTGCAGGGCCTGAGTCCTCAGGGCAGGGCAGGGGCTGCTCAATGTCTAAGCCAGAGGGGCATTTTTGAGGCCAGTGACCACCATGAACTCTGTCCTCATGCATCAGACTTCCGTCGGTCCTCTAAAGGACAGCCCCCTCCCCTGACCATGGGTCAGCACCATCTTTTGGTCTGTGATCAAGCCATGGATGGAGGCAGAGGGAAGGAGGGGAGAGTAAGGGACCCAGGGATACAGCAGGCCCCTGGGAATCCCCTTAGTGCATAGATGGGATGAGCCAGGATTGGGCTCCAGATGGTGATCAGTATGGCCTATGCCCACATTGCACTCGAGGGAGGGGTGCAGAGAGAGAGCTGTCCCCGAGACAGGGGCACCAGAGGGCCCAGGGGAAGCCAACCCATGGGGGCAGAGTGTGTGACAGCCAGCTTCCCACACTGTCCCCTGGGTCCTGGTGGCAGCCTCTCCCCACCCCCGCACACCCCATTGAGGTGACCTCAGCCACTTCTGGATTCCCCCAGGCCCCTTTAACAAAAACTACCCCCAAAAAAGGGAAGCTCAGGAAGCAAGCTGTGTGGCTGGTTTCAATCCAATTCTTAGTCCTTGTGGGGCTGGGGTAGGGCAAGATGCACCTCAAGGCTCAGCCACCCCCAGCTCCTGGGTTACAGGGCAGTGGGCACAGAGCACAGCCACAAGGAGCCCCAGGGCCCAGTGTGGAGCCAGCAGGGCAGGGGCACTGCCTCCACTGCCCCACTCTTTGTGAGTGGGGTCTCTCCAGAGCAGGACAGAGGGAGGTTGGGGGGCAGCAGAACTAGCCACAGGAGCTGAGGGCAGATCACACCTTGGAGACCCCAAAGAACCAGAGGAGCAGCTGAAGCAGCAGGAAATGCAGGTGGTCTCATCCGATGGCCCCATTGAGCACACGAAGCAGGCAAGGACTTCTCACCCACAGAGCTGGGCGCACCAGAGGTCTACAGAGGCCGGCTGGACTGTGGGCCGGGGCAAGACAACCGTGAGGAGCTGGAGGGAAGAGCGAGGGATGCAAGTGGCCAGTGGGCAGGGCACCGGCCAGGCTGGAGCCAACACTGCAGGGCTGCTCCAAGGTGTGCAGTGGGTCTGAGTCCAGGAGACAGGAAGGAGGCTGGCTCAGCTCGGGGAGGATGAAGACCCCAGGGCTCCCAAGGGTTCTCTTCAGGACAATGGGCAAGATCAGAGCAGGAGGCCAGGACCCTGTGCACAGGAGAGGAGGGGTCAGGGGCACAGCAGTAGTGGTGTGTGTGGGCTCACAGGCTCAGCAGACAGACTCATGGGTGGCAGACAGGGGACAGGAGCTGGGTTCTGGGGTCAGGTTTCTGGCACAGGGCAGCTTACTTGCAAATAGAAGGAGCAACTAGAAGGTTCTAGGGGTGAGGGGTAGCAGAGCGGGTGAGCTCCTCCGGGAAAGCAGGGGCAGGGCAGAGGCTGTGTGGACAGAGCCTGCCCGAGAGAGGGTGGGCAGGGGTCAGTGCCCACCCAAGAAAAATGAGATCAGGAGTGGAGCAGAAAAGGGCTGAGGGCTCTGCGATTTCCTGGGGGCCCAGCAGGAGCTGTGGGGGACACGGCAGCCTGGGTGGAGAACACACACCTGTGGGAAATGGGATCCTAGAGAAGAGGGGCAAGAAGTTGCTGGAGCCCAGCAGGCTAGGGACCAAGTCAGGACAGCTTCAGGTGAGCAGGGACAGGTGGGAGGGTAGGGAAGTGCTACAGGAGCTCTACGGGAGCTGGAAGAGCTTTGACGGTGAACAAGGGCCAGTGGGAGAGCCATAGCTGCCCCAGGGCCTCTGGGGTTGTTGGCATAGCTTTTCAGGTGAGCAGGGAAGAGTGGGAGGTCAGGAAGTTGCCTCAGGAGCTCTAAGGGAGTTGGCAGAGCTTTACAGGTGAGCAGGGGCCCCTGGGAGAGCCAGAGCTTCCCCAGGAATTCTAAGGGAGTTGGCAGAGCTTTGCAGGTGAGCAGGGGCCAGTCGGAGGTCAGGGAGGTGATCCAGGAGCTCTAGGGGAGCTGGAAGAGTGATGTAGTGAGACAGGGCTGGTGGGAGGGCAAGAAGCTGCCCAGGAGCTCTGGGGAGCTGGCGGAGCTATGCAGGTGAGCAGGGGCCAGTCGGAGGGCAGGAAGGTGCTCCAGGAGCTCTAGGGGAGCTGGCATAGCTATAGGGGAGCTGACATAGCTTCGTAGGTGAGCAAGGGCCAGTCGGAGGACAGGGAGGTGATCCAGGAGCTCTAGGGGAGCTGGCAGACCTATGCAGTGAGCAGGGGCCCGTGAAAGGCCAGGAAGCTACACAGGAGGTCTAGGGGAGCTGGCAGAGCTATGCAGGTGAGCAGGGGCTGGTTGGAGGGCAGGGATGTGCTCCAGGAGCTCTAAGGGAGCTGACAGACTATGAAGTGAGCAAGGGTAGGTGGGAAGGCCCAGAGCTGTTCTGGGAGCTCTAGGGGAGGTGGCAGAGGTAGACAGGTGAGCAGGTCAGGAGACAGGGCAAGGAGCTGGCCCAGGTCACTGAGTAAAAAGAGACTGTGGTGAGCAGGTCAGCAGACAGAGATCTCAGGGCAGTAGTCGTGGGGCACTACTGTTCTTGGGCTCCAGAGATGAAGTGTGGGCACTTGCTCATTCGCTGTCAGCCTAGACACGGCAGCTATATGTTGAGCAGAGGTTCTGAGTGCAGGAGGCCTGCGGCTGGGCCAGAAACAAGATCTGGAGTCCTGCAGGTGCTCAAGGTGAAGGCTCTGCTGTTCATGCAGAGGGCCCCTGGGGACAGAAAGCAGGAGCCCCTGGGAAAGGAGGGATGATGTCTGAGTTGGCAGAACTTGGGTCTCAGATGGTCAGGGACAAGAGACTGATGGAAAAGAGGCCTGAGTTCCTGTGTGGGTCCAGGAAGAGGGACAGGGCAGGGGAGGCTGTGGGGTAGCAGCTGGGAGGAGGGGAGCCAGCAGGACCCTGAGAGGGAGCGGCTCCAGGCCCAGGAACTCCAGACAGCAGGCAGAGCTGACACCAGTGGGCTGGGAGGGCAAGAGGGGCAGTGGGGAGCCCAGGAGCTCTGGGGACCAGGGCAGGGCCTGAGTGCAAAGGAATCCTGGAGGAGGTGGAGGCTGAGCTGGGAAGGAGCAGAGAGCAAGCTACAGGGCCAGGTAAGCCTGATGGTCAGAAAGGGGGTTACACAGCGGCTCCTGGGCAGGAAAGACTCAGAGAGGAAGAGACAACGGAGGACCTGAGGAGACAGGTGAGCCACCGTTCCTGTCCCAGAGGCACAAGTCTTGTTGCAGGGAGCTGGGGCAACGTGGTGGGGGGCACAGCACCACGGACCCTTTAGTAGGACTCAGCAAGGTCCACTCAGGGCCTGAGGCAGGGCTTCTGGCCCAGGATGGGGGTGGAAGAGGAGAGGGGACCGAGGGGCAGAGCCCCGGGTTGGGCTGATGGGACCAGGATGGTGGGCCAGGCCTGGCTGTGGGGTGGGGCTTCACCCTACCACCCTGGTATCTGGACCACTTGCACCACACAGATGAGGGGTGCTGAGGTCAATACCTGGCTCCCAGCCATGCTGAGGATTTGGCCGCACTCAGGAAAGACGAAGACCAAGCAAGAGATGGGTGGCCAAGGGCATACGTGAGCTTAGCAGGACACAGAGCACTGGGGGAGGCTGGTGGATCCAGGGCCACAGACTTAGGAGCCTGTGCTGGGGACTGCAGGGACAAGGGCATCTCCTGTGGACAGGATCCAGGACTGGGAGAGCGTCCGGGATGGGGACGGGAACCAGGTCACTGCCTTGGCTGTGCACCTCGCCCAGAGGGGCAGAAAACCAGCGTGACAGGGGCTCTGGTTTCAGGGTTGGCAGTGGAACACAGGCAGAGCCCCACCACAAGGAAGAGACTCCATGCCCTGGGCAGGGTTAGGGGGCAGGCAGGACAGTAGTACAGGGGACTGACCGCAAGAGCCAGCCAGAAGGATAAGCCACGGTTCAGAGGACAGAGGACTCTGTGAGGACAAGGGGGCTGTGAATTCTGTGGTGCTTGGGGGACTGGTGTCCAGGAGGCCACACAGCACTAGCTGAGCTGGTGAGTCCAGCGCCAGCGACCACAGAGGCACAAGACCTTGGTGGCAGAAACACACACGGTGGCTGCTCTGCAGATCATAGGCCCTGGGCTCTGGCCTGGGCCCTGTCCCAGGCCTGGGCTCTTGACACCCTGCAGGGACCTCTGGGGCTGAGGCCCTGGCAGTCATACGCCCTCCTCTCTTGCAGCCTCCACCACGGCCCCAAAGGTCTTCCCGCTGTCCCCCCGCTGTGGGGCCACATCCGACTCCACGTTGTCTCTGGCCTGCCTGGTCTCCGGTTACTTCCCCGAGCCGGTGACTGTGTCCTGGAACTCGGGCGCCCTGACCAGCGATGTGCACACCTTCCCATCCATTCTGCAGTCCTCGGGGCTCTACTCTCTGAGCAGCATGGTGACAGTGCCTTCCAGCAGCGCGTCCAGTCAGACGTACACCTGCAACGTAGACCACCCGGCCAGCAGCACCAAAGTGAACAAGGATGGTGAGAACCCAGCCACTGGGGGACATCTATGGGAGACAGGCCAGGGGGGCCTCCTGCCTGGACAGGCCATGGAGCAGGGATGGCTGCCCCAAGGCTGTGGGTGAGGCCCTGATGGTCTCCCCATCTTGAAGGTCCCCAATCTTGGGGAGGGGTCGTCTGGGCATTTCCACCAGGCTCCAGATGGGCACAGGCTGGACACACCTTCCCAAGCCTCAGGGGCCCCAGAAGCAGATGATGCTCTGAGACCTGCTTATCCCTAGCTCTGACCTAAGCTCACCCCGAGGGCTTAGTAACTACACCCAGGCCCCAGTAACCCTCAATGTGTTCTCTCTGCAGTGCCCATTGGAAATCCTGAACCATCTTGCAAATGCCCACGTGAGTCAGCCACCTCAAAGAGGTGGTCCGAGCCCAGGAGTGGCCCTCAGGGGGATGGGTGTCCTGGGTAGGCCCATGTAGGTGCTGACCCCCGGCCTCTGTGTCTTTTACACCAGCCGTTGACCCCCCGGGAGCACCTTCTGTCTTCCTCTTTCCCCCACAACCCAAAGACGTCCTGATGATCACCCTGACGCCAAAGGTCACATGTGTGGTGTTAGACGTGCCCTCAGATGACCTCGAAGTAGAGTTCACCTGGTACATGGATAACAAACTGCAGAAAACATTAAAGAAGAAGCCGAAGGTGTTGCAGTTCAACAGCACCTACCAAGTGGAAGATGAATACCCCATCATGCACCAGGACTGGCTGAAGGGCAAGGAGTTCAAGTGCAAGGTCAAGAGCAACTCTGTCCCAGCCCCCATCGAGAGGACCATCCACAAGCCCAAAGGTGGGGGCAGCAGCAAGGTGAGGTGCGGGTTCGAGAGGGCCAGCCCCTGACCTAGCAGTGACCATCTGTGTTGACCCCATCCCACAGGAACACTCAAGGTGCCACAGGTGTACACCCTGGCCCCACACCCGGACGAGCTGTCCAAGAACACCATTAGTGTGACCTGCCTGGTCAAAGACTTCTACCCGCCAGACATCAATGTGGAGTGGAGGCAAAATGAACAGCCAGAGCCGGAGTCCAAGTACATCACGACCCCGCCACGGAAGGACAAGGATGGGTCCTTCTTCGTGTACAGCAAGCTCTCCGTGGACAAATCCAGGTGGCAACAGGGACAGGTCTTCGCGTGTGCGGTGATGCACGAGGCTCTGCATAGTCACTACACCCAGAAGCCCATCTCCCAGACTTCGGGTAAATGAGCAGCATGCCCGGACCCAGCGACCCCCATCCCATGTACACACCCCAGGCTCAGCATTAAATAAAGCACCCAGCGCTGCCCTGGGACCCTGCCACACTGTCACGGTTCTTTCTGAGGCAGAGCCCAGTCCAGGCTCTGCGGCGGGTTGTCACCATGAAGGGGACAGAGGTGGGCCCACTGGGGAAGGACCCAAGCCTCCAGGTCTGTAGGCACCTGAGACAGGAGGCGGGGTTTCACCACTGGAGGCCACTCCTCCACAGTCCCCGGCCAGCACCTGCTCTCACAGGAGGAGCGGACAGGGCACAGGTGAGGGCCCTCCAGAGCCCCTCAGAGACGCGAGGGCCCAGGGTTTCTGCCTCTGCATGAGCCTACGCACTGGGACAGTGCAGCCTCTGTCCAGGGCTCCCTGTTCACTACTCCTCTCCTGGGCTCTATGAGGTGGCCCTGGGCCCACACAGGGGGAGACCTGCCCCATGGAGCTGTGGGGACAGGCTCATCTTGCCCCAGAGAACTGACCTCCCACCCTCCCCCCAGGGTAGAGAGCTCTGCCAGTCTTGCCCTGCCTGGGGCGAGGCCTCCCTGTTCAGGGGGACACTCATGCTATTACCCTAAAGAGTCAGAGGCTGGTCTCCTGGGGTCCCAGGGGAGGGACTATCCAGGGGTCCTCAGGGATGCTGAGCCCAGATCCACTGAAAATGAGTCTCTCCCACTGACCAGCGCCAGCTCACACGGTCACCTTACCACCACACATGCACATATGTGTGCACACATGCACATGCACACAGGCCTTTACTCTGGGGCTCCCACCAGGCACCCTGCACAGACCACGGCCAGACAACAGAGCAAGTCCTGTGAACCCCACTGAGGGCACCAGCCAGGCCCCACTCCCTCGAATGCCCCAGGACCTACACAACAGCTCATCCACACTCTGACCAGCTCAGACAACACTGCGCCCTCTGTGATCTGCAGAAATCCTACCCACTGCACTCAGAGCAGCCCTCCAGGCCTTCTACTTGTCTACTCACAACACTGACCTGGCGCAGACCCTTCCTGAGGCAGGGGCCACGCCCATCCTCTGACCCCTCAGGGGAGACAGAGGGCTGAGTGGACTACAGAGCAGACTGGACTGCAGGGCCACCTCATCCACACAGCCCAGTGTGAGCAGCAGAGAGGAGAGGGCGCCCCCAGGGCAAGTTGAGACCTGGGGCCTGAGGTGGAGGAAGAGGAAACTGGGCACCTCTGGCCCAGCCCGGTGCCTGCCACCCTGTCACAGAGAGTCCCAGGCCCCACCAGCCCCACACCAGCCCCACAGCCACCAGCACTGACCTCCCCCTCCCTGTCCAGAGGTGCTCCTGGATGAGAGCTGTGCGGAGGCGCAGGATGGGGAGCTGGACGGGCTGTGGACCACCATCTCCATCTTCATCACCCTCTTCCTGCTCAGCGTGTGCTACAGCGCCACGGTCACCCTCTTCAAGGTGGGCCTGCCGTCCCTACGCTGCCCCCTCGACATCCCTATGATGTTCCCATGCCGTTCCTATGGTGTCCACATGCCATTCCCATGTTTTTCTCATGTTGTCCACATGTCCCGACACCATACCCACACTGACCCCTCGCTGACCCCGCGCTGTTTCCATACTGACCCCACGCAGTGCCCACACTTACCCCATGCTGACCTCATGCTATCCCCACGTTGTCCCCATGTCATCCCCACTCTGACTACATGCTCCCCCACGCTGTCTTCACACTGACAACACACTGTCCACACACTGACCCCACACTGATCACACACTTCCCACACGCTGTCCTCATGCTGTCACCACACTTACTCCATGTGGTTCCCATGCTGTCCCCCCCTGACCCCATGCTGTCTTCTCGCTGTCCCCTCTCCACCCCACGTTGTTTGCAGTGTCCCACACTGACCCCACCTTTTCCCTTGTTGTTCACACATCCTCAAGCTGTCCCCATGGTGTCCCCACGTTGTGACCTGTTTTTTACATGCTGCCCCCACACTGCCCCCATGCCATCTCCACACTGTCCCCACACCCTACCAGGTAGTCCCTGCATTATTTCCATGCTGTCCCTCACTGTCCCCATTCTATCCCTCACTGGCCCTCATCATTTCTCACTGTTCCTACACAGTTGCCCCCTGACCCCCTCATTCTCCCCACCCTGTCCCCACACCACGCCCACGTGGTCCTCCCCCACCCTGTGGAGGCTGATGTGGGATCCTGGGCTCTCACCCCTGCAGGTGAAGTGGATCTTCTCCTCGGTGGTGGAGCTGAAGCAGACCATCGTCCCTGACTACAGGAACATGATCGGACAAGGGGCTTAGCGCCAGCCCTCACGGGCAAACCTCCAGGGCCGCCCCCAACCCACACAGGGTCTGGGCTATGCTGGTTCGTGCTGCTCAGTCTGCTGCCCAGGCCTGCTTCTCCACCCTCTGACCCCACTGCCCTCTGGCCATGCCGCCCTCTGACCCATGGCCACCCTGGGCCTGCACCTGTGACGTATGACTTCACAGCCATCCCAGGATGCATCCTGCCCTGTGACCGACCTCTTCGGAGAACGAGGTGGATAGCAGGTATACCCCCAACCTGAGCCGATGGACATCTGCTGGCCCCTCCACTTCAGTCCCCAAGACACCACCGGGGACCTTGTGGACACCAAGAGTGTCAGCGTGCTGCATCTCCTTCCCAGGACGTCCCTGCCTTGGGTCAACATACAAGTCCCCCTGGGGGAGGCTGGGGCCCTGGGTTCCCGGTGCCAACTGGGCAGGATCCAAGATGAAAGCATCTTCAAAGGGTCCTGGGCCCCACCAGGAAACGTAAGCATGTCCCACAGTAGTCACCCAGGTGGCCTACACTAGAGGAGACCCTCAAAGTGGGGTCTGGATGGGCTGCTACAGGGAACCAGGGTGCCGGGCAGTGCCACCCAGAGAGGGGTGGGTGTCCTCCCACAGGCCTTATGAGAAGGGGACTGTAGATCAGGTCCCAAGAAGGCAGGACACAGCCTCCTCGGGGACAGAAGAGGCCAAAGGACATGGGTGTTGGGGTGCAGAATTCCAGGAGAGCAGGAGAGCAGCCACAACGGGCCCGAGTACTGCCCCATTGCCCCTTCCCAGGGCCTCACCTTGCTCCAGCGAGGCAGGGGGTGTGAGTTCAGAGGACTGAGTGGCGGGGAGCATGCCCCCTGCTTCGGGGAGCCAGAATGGTGGGCAGAGGTCCACATTGCAAGTGAGTGCCCAATCGGCTTGTCTAGATGAGACGGGGTAGACACAGACCCCATGACTATTGGAGATGTACAGAGAATGATTGCACGAAGGAAACGTCACCTTGTAGCTTGGGTTGCTTTTTATATTCTTTTTAATTTTCTGGATGTAGAGGCACACTAGTTGGGCAGAACTGTGCAGGTTCCTTTGGATACAGAAATCCTCAGTCCTAGAGGCTGAAATAAGACCCTGGGAAGTCCTTTATGAGAGCTACTCAGATCGCAGAAACCACTGCAAGCAGGACATTCAGTGCAGAGTCCTTCCTAGACACAAAAATGGGTGTAGTGACCTTAAGGTACATGAGGTCATGGCACGATGGTCCAGAATGCATTTGTAACCTGTAATCTCCCCCTGCAAGTCTATCATGTGTCCACGCTGCTGCCTCTTCCTTAGCGGATAGCTGCAACGCACCACATGTGCCCAGGGCCTTGTGGTGCTGTCCACGGTGCTGCCTCAGCCCCTTCCCCAGGCTAGGCTGCTGTCCTGGTGCTGTTCTTGCTTTGCTTCATACCGTCAAGTTTGCATTTTGTTTTCTTTCTCATTTTTAAAATAAATAAAACATTTTTTAAAAATATTTTTAGATTCAGACATGAACAAAGCAGACAGTACAGAGAGTTTCCGTATACTCCAGCTCTATTAAAAAAGCCACATATTTACCTATTTTTCTTCCTATGTAAAATTTTATTTTCATTCCAACACTTTTCTGGGTAGGTAGGGAAAATCTCTTCCTTATACAGAGTGAGGCAAAAGTAGTTGTATAGTTGTGAATACACAAAACACAGTTTATTTTTGTATTATCCTCTATACGTTGCTATATTATTTTCTTTTCTAATATTATTTTATATATTTGATTTAATATTAAATACTCGCTAAAAGGTAGCTGCTCTTAAAATTGCGGATTTAGCTCCTAGAATTTTTGAAAAGACATAATTTTCGTGTTTTCTATTATTATACTATTTTTATTGTTCATATACGTTTTTGTCCATTTTCCTGCAACCCCTTTCCCCTATCCCACCCACCACCACCTCCCACCATCAATCCTTCCCCACGCTGGTTTTTCCATGGGTCCATTATACATGTTCTTTGATTCGGCCCTTCCCTTCTTTACCCCATTACCTCCCTTCCTCCTTCCCTCTGGCAACTGTCCCTTTGTATTTTCTTTCAATGTTTCTGGTTATATTTCCTTGCTTGTTTGTTTTCATGATTAGGTTCCACTTATAGGTGAGATCACATGGTATTTGTCCTTCGCCACCTGGTTTATTTCACTTAGCATAACGCTCTCCAGTTCTATCCATATCATCGTGAAGAGTAGGAGCTCTGTCTTTCTTTCTGCTGCATAGTATCCCATTGGTCAAATGTACCAGAGTTTGTCGATCCATTCATTTACTGATGGGCACTTAGGTAGCTTCAAGCACTTAGCCACTGTAAATTGTGATGCCATGAACATTGGGGTGCATAGGTTCTTTTGAATGGCTGTTTGGGATTCATAGGGTACAATTCCAGCAGTGGAATCATAGGGTCAAAAGACAGTTCCATTTTTACCTTTTTCAGGAAATCCCATACTGTTTTCCAAGGGGCTGCACCGGTCTGCACTCCTACCAACAGTGTACCAGGGCTTCCCTTTTCTCCACATCCTCACCAGCACTTGATGTTTGCTGATTTGTCTACGATGCCCATTCTGACCAGTGAGAAGTGGCATCTCATTGTGGTTTTCATTTGCATTTCTCTGATGGCTACTTATCTTGAGCATCCTTTCATAAGTCTCTGGGCCCTGAGTATGTTCTCCTTGGAGAAGTGTTTGTTCACGTCCTTTGCCCATT